CCGGGACACGAACCGCGGTCGACTACGTAGGAGTCCAGCGACATAGCCATTACGCTAACTGCTGGTTCCCACCTTCTGCCATTTTAAAGGCTGTGGGACAGATGAGCCCTGCAGCCCTGTGCTATTGAGACTGTGAGGAAAGTCGGGCTGTAGCCAGGATGGACCAATTACGGGGTCACTGAACCAGCTTCGGACCAAAAAGCTTGCCTTGTTGTGATGCCCATTTACAGTGGCTAAAATGAGAATGGGGGACCACAGAGGGCCATGATCAGTTGAAGGCTAAGCAGAGGACTGGCCTGGGGATTTTCCCAGCTCTTCCATGTCTCAGCAGGCCTCTAGTCAAGCAGGCAAGAGAGCACTAGCCTCGGCCACCCCTCATCTTGTCCTCTTGCACGGCGGGCCAGGGCAGCTTGAGCTAGGAGACCAAGGTTCCTGAGGGGCTCACTAGGTCCTGGGGGAGGCTTTCTCGGGCCTCCTGCATGCGGCGCCGGGCTCGACGGAAGGCCTCTGTCAGGGAAACAGACATGGCAGTCAGTGGCCAGGGTGTGGGGAGGAGCGTGGCCTGTGCTGACTCTGGGTGGCCAGCTGGGGGAAGGGGACCTACCCAGCACGTTGTGAATGGAACTCTGCTGGCTGAACCCTTCCAGACGGTCCAAGACACTCTGCATCCTTCTCCGGAGGGAGCTTGATTCCATGAAGGCCCTGCAGGGACACCTCATGGTCATGGCAGCTCTCCACCCTCAGAGAGAGGAGTCCAAGGCAGAGGCCTAGTCACTCACCTGGACTGCTGCAGACAGTGCAAGCGGAAAGTAACACTGCCTGTGGTCTCTGTGCGGAGTCCAAAGCGACTCAGACGCTCTCCCTGGGTGTACAGTTGAGATAGTATCAGGTTTCTGTGGTCTCTAGACCCGGGCACCTTGCGGGCCTCACTCCTGTTCTTATTCCCGTTCTTGGGGAGAGCAAGTCTGTTGGGGAAACCTCATCCCAACACCCAGACCGTATCCCCTCAACACTAACACTGGGCTCCCTGTAAGTCAGGGCACATTCCAACCCCATTTGAGAATAAGCAATCTCCCATGTTTCTCATGAGCCCTCTCCACATCTGACTGCCAAGGCCTTCGGTGTGGGGGCCAGGGGACAGGAATTCTGGTAGGGACCAGGGAAATGGAACTATTTTGCAGAGCTCTCCAAGGACAGCAGGGTAGACATCTGAACTTGGTTCAGAATGACTGCTGTTCTTCTCAAAGAGGCACGGGACCAGGCAGGCCTGCAAAGTGGTCATGACTTCCAGCTTAAGCCACAGGAAGGAAGGGGCTAAGGAATACTGAAGCAGTGAAAAACTAGGGGGCTACAACCCAGATGCCCCCTTCCACAGAACAGGAAGACAGGAGGTCCCAGCACGTCTCCCCAGAGATAAAGTCACCTTAAAGGTCGCTGGTATCCGCACGTAGGAGAGGTCCTCCAGTTCCAGAGAACCACCGATGAAAAACCTCCTCAGCTCAGCCACCGTGCCAGGCTCCATGGGTCTCCACGTGGAGACCGTCAGGGTGTGCGAGCCTATGCAAGGCAAGACGACACTGGGTCAGGTCCTGAGAGGGTGTGTGGCCCCTGCCTGACCCCCCACAATGATGATGACAGACCTAGCACCCCTAAAGCATCTGGTCTGGTGATGGTCACCATGGTGGTTAAGAGCACCTGTTTGGAAATCAACTCTGCCAGTAATTACTAGTGTACCTAGGACAAGTTTCTCAACCTCTCCGAGCCTCATCTAATAAAATGAAAATAACAAGAGGTCTACACCTCACAGAGTGTTTGGGAGAATTAAGTGAGAAGCGCTTAGCACAATGCCTGGCCTAGCACTAGCCCTCACTCTCCTCAGAAGTACTTGAAACCTTGCAAGTGTTAGCCTTGTTCCCATGAGGCATGTGGGTGGGTGAAGGGAAGATGAGAAGTTACCTGGGGTAGCGGGCAGCACCACAGCCCCGTAGCCTTCCACACGGTACCTCTGCCAGAAGTCCAGTGAGAGGACTTGACAGTAGAGCACAGGCCACTCTGGGAGAGCGTCTGGGAGCAAGTGAGAGACACAGCCAGGTCACAGCAGGCCTCCACCACAGACAGCGGCTGAGGAAAACCAAGGCCCAGCAGCAGCTGCTGAACTACTCACCGGCAGATTCATCCTCGTGGAGGAAGAAGGCTTCAAATGTGAACGGGAAGGAGAAGTATGCCACCTTGTCCTAAAAAAGAAGAGTGTCGCCTTATACTCAGCCTCATAGGACAGGCAAGACCTCACTTGGAAAGTGTTCCCCCTGTGGCCAACGACGGGTCACCTGCACTCTCAGTGGGAAACAGGCTGAGAGGCAAAGGAACACCCAAACGTAAGCTACTGCCATTCTCAAAGAGGCAGAGGACCCTGGGACCACGTAGGCCTGCAAAGTCCACACAGACCCAACCCTGGAGTCCTCCCAGGAGTCCACAGCCGTGGGCCTGATAAAGCTTCAAATGCCACCCCAGGCATCTTCTGTCATCCTCCATACCATTCCCACGGACTTGGTGGCACAGGTCTGTGTTATTCCTGAGAGCTGCTGGACTGCCGGGCTCGACCAGTCTGAAAGTCAAAGACCAGGCACAGTAAGAGCAGCTGGGAGGAGAACAAGTCTTTCAGAATAAAATTAAGTTCCCTTATTGATTTATGCACTTACTCATTCACATAGTCAATCATTATTTACCATTTAAGCAAGTCTCTAGGTCTGGGACTTGAACCACAGTCGGCCATGTGAGAGTCCAACACCCTTAACCATCACACTACCTGCCAGTTCCATGGAGTCCAGTGCCTTAACCACCACGCCACCTGCTGGCCCCCAGATTGAGCCTTAAAAAATATAAACCATGGGACCAGCAAGTAGCGTGGTGGTTAAGGCATGGTTACCAAGGCTGTTACAAGGGGCCCTCAAAAAGTTCAAGGAGAATATGTATTATGACAGAACTATGCATGAATTTCAATTTTTTTATTTTGTCTTAAAAAAAAACTTAAAAAAAAAATCTCAATCAGGCTCTGGTGTATGTGGCAAAATGGACTATAAGAAGAGCAAGAGAGGAATCAAGAAATAAACTCATACTTGAATTCCACTTTCCACCCATGTTTTGAAGTCTCATTTGTGCTAGTAAATCCTGGGTATATGTCCGTGACCAGATAGAAAGGACCCCTATTTCTCGTTGAGCTAACATACAACATTCTTGGAGTCAGGGGGGTGGAGGGACAGGACAGACAACTAACAAGCCAACAAGAGACTATGGGCAGCAGCAGTGCTGTACTGAAAACACAGCAGGGAGAAAGGACCGGGTGTCTTGAGGCTCCTTTAGATTCGGTGGTGAAAAAAGGCCCTGAGAAGAGATACTGGCTGAGAACTAAACTCAAGAAGAGCCAACTATGCAAACATACGTCAGAAAGGGTTTCAGACGGAGGAAACGGCCCTGAACAAGTGCTGCAGTATAATTCCACCTGGCATGGTCAGGAGCAGAGTGACCGCAATGCTGTAGCTGAGACAGGCAGGGGCCGGCTCGTTCACGGTATGGAGTTTGGATTTCACTCTAAGTGGAAAAGGAAGCTGGTGGGTTTTCAAGCTCATGGGTGTGACTGGTTTACTTTTTTTTCTTCAAATAATAATTTATTTAATGTTATTATTATTATTTTCATTTGAGCAGAGAAAGATAAAAAGAGAGGGAAAGTGAAAAAGTAATTTGCCAGGTCTTAGACTCGAATCCTGGTCAGCCAATGTGGAAGCCTAGCGCCTTAACCACCACGCTACTTGCTGTCCCATGGTTTACATTTTTTAAGGCTCAATCTGGGGACAAGCAGATGGTGTGGTGGTTAAGGCACTGGACTCCATGGGACTGGCAGGTAGTGTGATGGTTAAGGGCACTGGACTCTCACATGGCCGACTATGGTTCGAGTCCCAGACCTAGAGGCTTGCTTTCTCACTTTCCCTTTCTTTTCTTTTTTTTTTTCTTTGAGAGATTTTCACTGTAGGGCGCGTGTGCTCGCCAGACAGACAGAGAGAGACATAGAGACAGAAAGCGAGAAATCACCCCCCAGGGGGCATGGTCACGCCGCAACTCCATTCTCCTCTCAGGATCTTGGGCACGCACGCACACGCGCCCGGCGTGAGTTTTAAGCCACCGGGTCCGGGACACGAACCGCAGTCGACTACGTGGGAGTCCAGTGACATAGCCATTATGCTAACTGCTGGTTCCCCTCACTTTCCCTTTCTCTCTGTGTCTCTCTCTGGAAATATTAAAAATAATCATGATAAATAAAGTTAAGTAAATCTTCAAAAACATACTATATGAAAAAAATAAAAGACACTAGACTTCCAACATGGCCAACTGTGGTTCCAGTTCAAGTCCTGGTGGTTTGAAAA